GTCCTTCCTCAGAAACAGTTCTCCACGAGGGCTTTCCATGCGCCTCTCAAGTGGAGCCCAAGAGACTCGGAGGCGGAAGGAACTTTCAAGGTCATGCCCTTCAACATCCCAGCCAACTCTACTGCATTCAGTTAAAGGTAACAACAGGGTGGACCTCGGTCACCTAGAGCCGTGAATTGTGGCTTCTGGTCTGTAGGATTGGTTTGGACACCTTCAACTGTATTTTGCCTCCAGATTCCAGGAGGCTTTTTCTCCAAGAAATTGCTGGTAACACCTCGATCCGTATCAGGATGGAGAGCCAGCGATATGCCCGGTCCTTTGCAAAATACCGTCTCTAGTCGACCGTGACACTTGCAATCCCACGGGTAGGATGCAAGACTAGGCCCTGTGAAGTCAGACTGGAGAAGGGCACACCGCGGCCTGCTGTTTGTTCATCCGAGAAGCATTTCTAGAGCAATGCTCTGGCCTGGCACTGTGGCCGTGAAAATAAAGGCATAATCCACGCAGAAGAAACAAATCAGGAGACAACCAACTCGAGCAAAAAGGGATGCCTGTCTTTGTAAAGATAGAGAGAAGAACATTCTGATAAAGAAAAGCAAAAGTCAGTGGCTGAAAGTGTGTTGGTGTCGGGAAAGACTTGGGGTGCAGGAAAGGAAAAGAGACAGGTCTCCGCTGATGAGACCACACGGCAGCAGGGATGTCAAAGATGGACAAGAGTTTGCTGACTGTGTGTGCATGCTCACACACGTGTGAGCTGCATTCAGACAGAGAGCAGGGAGAAGCCGTATCCCAGCGGCCGCCCCGGGCACTTTCTGCCTGTTTTAGTTCTTAAGATGCTTGATTCTGTGCAGCTCAGCTTTCTCTTCTGCCCTGACTCATTCTGTTTGAAAAGTTTAGCGTGGGCATACCAAACCAAACCCCTACGCACCAGACAATAAGCCTCTTGCAGGCAAGGATTGTATCAAATGCTCTGACTGCTAAATACTTACCTCTCACGGTTTGTTTTTTTTTTTAACTTTACACTTATTTTTATTTTGCAATAATTCTAGATTCACAACAAGCTGCAGAACAGTACACAGAGGTCCTGTGTACCCTTCACCCAGGTTCCCCCAAGAGTGGCATTTTACATAACTACAGAGTCATTGTCAAAACCAGGAAATTAACACCAGCACAGTACAATCAATCAGACTACAGACCTCCCTCAGATTTCACTCGTTTTTGTATGTCCTAGTGTTTTGGTTTTTTGGGACTCTGGGTATAGTTCAAGAAATTCTGTCACATGTAAAGATTTCTGTGACCGCCACCATAGTCAAGATACAGAACTCTTGGGCGCCTGGGTGGCTCAGTTGGTTAAGCGACTGCCTTCGGCTCAGGTCATGATCCTGGAGTCCCTGGATCGAGTCCCGCATCGGGCTCCCTGCTCAGCGGGGGGTCTGCTTCTCCCTCTCCCACTCCCTGTTTGTGTTCCCTCTCTCGCTGTGTCTTTCTCTGTCAAATAAATAAATAAAATCTTTAAAAAAAAAAAAAAAGATACAGAACTCTTGCGTTACCCCCAAAGCAACTCCCTCAAGCTACCCCATTATACCCACACACACCCCTGCTCCCTGCAAGCCCCCCGCAACCACTGGTCTGCTCCTATGCTCTGCAAGTCTGTGGTGCAGAGAATGTTACATAAATGGAATCCTACAATATGTAACCTCTTGAGATCGTTTCCACTAAGCATAATGCCCTTAAGACCACCTCAGCTGTTCCACACCTAGAGTTCATTCTTTTTTTTTTTTTACTAAGTAGTATTCCACTGTAAGGCGAGACCACATTTTAATAAATCGCGTGTTGATAATGAAAATGTTTCATTACCCTGATTGTGGTGATAGGATAGAAGGTGTCTGCATATGTCCAAACTCATCAAATTGCCTATATTCAATGTGTGCACTTTTTATCTATCAATGATACCTTAATATAGCTGTATTTAAAAAAAAAAAAAAAAAAAAAAAAACACGTGCCAAATTAAAAAAAAAAAAATTCTGGCATCAAATAGTGATTTTATCATTATTTACCTGTTGAAGGACAAACTGGCCATGTCCAGTTTGGAGCTACTGCAAATAAAGCCCCTATAGGGTGCCTGGGTGGCTCAGTTGGTTGGGCGACTGCCTTCGGCTCAGGTCATGATCCTGGAGTCCCTGGATCGGGTCCCGCGTCGGGCTCCCTGCTCGGCGGGGAGTCTGCTTCTCCCTCTGACCCTCCCCCTTCTCATGTGCTCTCTCTCATTCTCTCTCTCTCAAATAAATAAATAAAATCTTTAAAAAAAAAAAAAAAAAGCCCCTATAAACACCTGTGTCCAGGTGTTTGTGTAAAGGCAAGTTTTCATTTCTCTCGGATGCATGCCCAGGAGTGTGAACACTGGCCCGCAGGGTAAGTATATGTTTAACTGTTCAAGAACCTGTCCAACAGATGTAGAGGAGGGCTGCCCCATCTCACTTGTCCTCAGAAGAGGTGGTTTCTGCACATCCTCAGCGATGTGGGGGGGTTGCCAGCACGTGTCACATGCGTCATTCTAACAGGTGTGCCCTGCTAGCGGATTGTGGCTTTACCCTGTGTTTCCCCGATGGTGTGGAATATCCTTCCCACTGGCTCATCTGCCATCTGTGTAGATCTTCTCTTTTTTTTTTTTTTTAAAGATTTTATTTATTCATCTGAGACACAGAGATACAGAGAGAGAGCATGAGCAGGGAGAGAGGCAGAGGGAGGAGAAGCAGGCTCCCTGCTGAGCCAGGAGCCCGATGTGGGGCTCGATCCCAGGACCCTGGAATCATGACCTGAGCTGAAGGCAGATGTTTAACCATCTGAGCCACCCAGGCGCCCCCATCTGTGTAGATCTTCTTTGGTGAAGTATCCGTGTAAGTCTGCTGCCCATTTTCTGAGCGCGCTGTCCGGTTTCTTCCTGTCGAGCCTGGAGGGATTACTATCGATCCCGGAGACAGGTCTGCTGTCAGATAGGTGATCTGCACAATTTTCTCCCAATCGTTCACCCTCCTCTTAACAGACTCCCTCTCCAGAGCAACATTCTCAATTGTGATTAAGAACAACTGATCTATTTCGCTGTGTGCTGTTTGGTGATTTGTGCTTTGGGTGTCCCACCTTTCTCTAGTCCAAGACGAGTAGAGGCACTGGAGCAAATCCCTTAACCCTCCTGTGCCTCAGTTTCCTCATCTGTAAAATGGGGAGGGCAAACCTCCCACCGAATGCTTGAGTCACCATAAGAATTAAGAGCCGGATTGTGTTATATAAAGCACTTTAAAAACACACAGGGTTTGCGGTTTTTATTATTTTTGCTCACTCATGGAATACCTGCTTTCTCTCTGACCTCCTCATGAAAGCCCAGAGAGGAAAGGCCTGCTAATTAACTCTGGGGGGAAAAAAGCGCAGGGTTAACATGCATCTGTGCAAAGGAATGATTTCGTGGAGGCAGAGAGGACGAAAGAATGTTCTAAACACAGAAACCAGGCCAAGTGGCTGAAACAAAAGGTAAGTCGGAAACAAAAGGAATTCTGACCCCAGGCAAAGCCAAAAATAAAAGCGATAATTTGGTTTCTTTATCTCCCAAGCGCTGACTCTCTGACAGAACCTCAGAGGAGGCACCAGGGAGGGGACTCCGGCCCCATCATCACGGCGGGAAGACTTCGTGGGCCCTGCTGCAAGTTCCAGGCTACTCCGTTCAGGAGTTTTCCTTTGGTTACCCCTGGCAGGTGAAGGAGGGTAACTGCCACTTTCCTTTGGGAATGGCCGTGTCCCCAGCCTTGAGCTCAAGGCAGCTCTGACTCATCTCAATGCCAAATGAAAAGAGTATTTTAAATGTACCTTTGGCGAACTCCCACGAGAGGAGGGCTTTCCCCTGTCCTTTGCTTAAATGCCCATGAAGACAGGGACAGAGGACACCCCCTGCACGGTCCCATCTCCTTGGACATAGTCACCCTCCCCCCTCTCCCCAGCAGGATGAACCAGGCACGTGTTCCTGTGTGATTCTGGAGAGACTTGGGTGCATCACTTTCCACCCAGAAGTTCTTGTTCCCATGCCTGCCTCTCTCCCCTTAAACCACACACCGGGGGTTGGGGGGGGCAGGAGGGGCAGATCCTATTCAACTCATTCCTGCACCCCATGCCTGGCACATCGTGTGACATGTAATTGGTGCTCAGGAAGGTAAGCTCCCCAGCAAGGCTGGCTGGCTGCCTGGGTGAGTGCAGAGACAGGAGGGCAACTGGATGGACTGGGGGGGCGGGGGGGAGATGAACACACTGATGAAAACTGAAAGAGGAGCAAGAGATACTGGGGAAGAGCAAAGTATTCTTTCCCCAAACCACGCAACCCTACCAGTATCTTACAATCACTTCTAGAACTCCCTCAGGACAAGAGGCATAAGTCTGTCCTCAATAAAAACTACTGTCACATCACGGAAGTGGCAGAACACTGAATTTCCCCAAAGTTCTAGGGGTTCTGCTTTTATGGGAATTACACTTAGGATTCTGTCTCTGTCTCAATCATCTCTGGGGCTTGCACAGTGCCCTATCACAGTTCCCAAGGTATCTAGAAATGTCTTGGGAACCAGTCACCCATGGAAGCATGTCGCAGTGTGAATCTTTGTAAAGGCAAATGTGCCCAGAGATGTGGGCGTTTTACAGATGTGATATGGATACAAAGGGGACCCAGTAAATGCTAACGGCACTCAGTGGTCTCTAAGATGACAGGACTAATAAAGCTAAGAACCAACGATGGAGGGGTGTCAGAGGTCTCCAAGACCCAGCCCAGGTTCCATGATCTTCTAAGAGGACTCACAGGACTCAGCATATACTCATACACACGCATGGCTATGACTTATTACAGCCAACACACACTAAACAAAATCAGCACAGAATAAAGGCGCATGGGTAAAACCTAGAAGGAACCTGGCGCTAACTTCCGGAGTCCCCTCCCACTGGAGTCACCCAGGCCACACCTAACCTACCCGGCAAAGAGCTGTGGCAACACGTGCTCAGTGTTCGACCGACTGGGGAAGTTCAGGCTCAGGGCTGTCACTGGAGACTGGTCAGGTGGGCATCCTTTGCCTAGCATGTACCAAAATTCTGGACGCCTGCAAGGAAAAGGGGTGTTCAGCATAAGCTATATCATTTGCACAGTTTTAGGCACCGTGAGCCACTCTTAACCAGCTTCAGGAATAGTGGGCCTCCTCCTAAAATGCAAGTTTTCAGACCTTAGCCAAGGGCCCAACCTTGCAAGCAGGCCTTCCTACGGAAACCGGTTGGGCCTGTTAACTCTCGTCTGCATAGGGCAGTACGGCCAAAAGCATTCTGGCGAGTTGTCTTCTTGGAAAGTCATTCGCTGATTCCAACAATGCTGCCTTTGTCCACAGCTGTTTTGGACTTTTTTTTTTTTTTTGAGATCTGTCTCCAGAGCCCTAAGTGCAAAATACGGTGAATTTTCAACCCATGAGGTGGACTGTATCTCCAATAACCAAGGCATATCCAAGCCCCTTTGGCTCAAAACATGAGTTAAACAGTAAAATAACAAAACTGAATCTTCCTACATTGGTCTTCAAGCACAGAGCTCAAGGACTGTCCATCCATTCATTCCTCAAATATGCATTTGGCACCTTGTGAGGACCAGACAGATCATTTCTCAGTTGCTGGCAACACACGTAGGAGGAAAAGGCTGCAAGAGACCCAAAGCCCAGCTCACTGCTGTTTCCGCCCAGCAAACACTTACCACGCACACACCTGGGGACCACTTGCCACAGAATGCTGCACAGGACCAGCTTTGTATCTGTGTGCTTTTGATACCTTGAGCAACCTAGTTTTTATTTTCCCCAGGGAGTAAGACTGCAACTCTTTGCTTTAAAAAAAAAAAAAAAATCTGTTTTTAAAAAAGCGATTCTCCCTGTCCTACAGTTCTTAACAGGGCCACCACATGACATCCACACATTGTGCCTGAACAAGGGGGCTGGACAGAGAGGGATAAAATTCAGTCCCCCCCCCCCACTGGGGAGCCCTGTGCTCACAGGCTGTGCCTCTGGGGAGGGCATGCCTCGTTCTAATCTGCACACAGGCACCTGGGGTGACAGGAGCACCCTCTGGCTCTGCTCCCCTGTTCCCCAAACACAACAGACACCCTCTCCTCCAGCCCTTTGCCTTGCTGTGCCCTCACCACCCCCGGCCTCCCTCCTCTGCCCTCTGCTGACGTGTCCCTGTCTATCATGACGACCAGTCATTCCACCCAGCAGCCCCATCTCTCTCCCTTTCCTTCTCTTCCATTTGTAATATCACCACCATCTCCATGAACTTCTTCCTTTAGTGCTTATCTTCCCTCACTGGAATTTTTTTTTTTTTTTACAATTTTTAAAAAATTCATTAAGGTGAAACACAGCACAACATAAAACAAAGTATATCAAGTGAGCCATCTCCGCGTGTTTGCAATGTTGTACGACCACCTGCCCCACCTATTTCCAAAATATTTCCATCCCTCCAAAAGAAAACCCCCCACCCACGGGGCAGGTTCCCCCCATGTCCCCCCTCGGGGCCTGGCCATGACCAAGCTGCATGCTGTTTCTACAGATTACCTCTTCTGGATGTTTCCTGTAAGTGGAGGCCTACAGTAAGTGACCTCTAGTGTCTGCCCCTTGCCAGAATGTCAGCTGCCGGCAGCAGTCTGTTTTAGTGACCACTGTATTTCCTGTGTCTCGGGACAGTGCCTGACCGAGGAAAACCAGGAGACAAAAGTTAAGTGTTTGGTAAGTGAACGAAGGCACAGGTGGATGAGTGCATGAAAGAGTCAAATGGACCATATGGTCCGGAAAGATGGAGAAGGAAAGAGAAGAGAAGCAAAAGGGGGCTCGTGCAAGATGGCCTGGACGAGCTGGGAGTGTCAGGTGGGGCTGTGATTCGAGAACCAGGCTTGACTGCAGCAACTCTAACGTGTCTCAGCTGGAGACACACATTGGGCCAGGGTAGTCTGCGAGTCTAGCCTCCAGGACAGCCTGGAGCCTTATAAATGAACCTGGCACATTTTTTAGACACAGTGCTTACAAAGCCTTCAACAGAAACACCCCTTTCACATAATCACATCCTGGAAGAGGACAAATCGCTCCTTGAACACTTTCCAGGAACACGGCTGTATCATTACATTGAAATCATCTGCAATATGACATCTCCCCTAACTATAAACTCCTTGAAAATAGGAAGATCGCTTATTCGTCTCTGAATTCCAGGCCCCAGAGCAGTGTTCAGGCCTTGGAGGGTTCTCGGGGAGGCCAGCTGCCCTGCTCAGAGGGAAACAATGAGACTCAGAGCTGGCCTCGAGTCCTCTTCCTTGCGCTTGCAAACCGTGTGACTTCCAGAAGCACAGCCTGATGGGCAGTGTGGTGCAGCAGGTGAGAGTGTATGGCAGGTTGTTAGGAGCAAAGCCTTGGACATGGCTTGCCAGGAGCTGTGTGAGCCTAGGTAAATCTCTCAGCTTCTCTGTGCTGTTTCAGCACCTGCAAAGTCAGGATGACAGCTTCATCAGACCATTGGGGAGCAAATGAGTTAATTCATATGAAGCACGGTAGAATAGGGACCGGCATAGTAAGTGTGCAATAAGCGTTCACTTTCACAACCAGATCTTTTACTTTTCAAGTTCCTCCATCTCCTTATCTGGAAAGAGGAGGATGACACCTTGCCAGGGTGCTGAGAGGAGTCAGCAAGGGAGCCTGGGCAGCCCTCCTCGGCCCCCGCCGCAAAAGCACAAAAAAAGTGGGGCAACGTGGTTAATGAGCCTCCTTCTGTAGGAGGGGATAAATCTAATCAGGATCCGTGGAGTGTTTACAGGCTGCAAGGCCCACGGCTCAGCTCTGAGATCACAAGCATATGTAAGACTCAGAAGCGCCCCGTCCTGAGGATGCACGGAGTCGGATGTGGGAAACGGATGGGCTCCACGGAGTGTAGTGTGTGCTGGACTTGGACCTCGAGGACGATGCAGCCGAAGGATCCAGGGTCTCACACATCATTCAGGAGACCATCCTTTCTGTATTTTCCCGTGAAAGTGAACTATTTGTACAGCTCAAAAGGACGAGATGGAGAGAGGTTCGGTGGGGACTGCACAGCTGTTTCCCGCTCAGCCTCGGGACCTGGGTGCATACTTTTCACTCTGCCTGCCACACTCTTCTCCAAGCCCCAGACCCACCTTCATCCGACCCTCCTCCCTCTGATATTGGATCTCAGCAAATCCTTCCCTAACCCCATCCACCCACCTAATGTACTAAAAAGCGCAGGTTCTATGTCATATGCTTTCCTAATACCCTGTCCCATGTGCCATACAGCGGCTCATACTAGCATATGAGCTCTGAGAACACATCTGTTTTGATCAGCAGTGATAACCAAGAGCCTAACAGACAGGAGGTTATCCATAGATCTGTACTGACTAGATGGATGGATGGATAGATGGATGGAGAGATAATCAGACAAATCCCAATAAGGCATGGACCTCATTCTCTGTATCTCTAAACCAACACCAGCCAATACAATGCTAGCCCCGTGGGTAATTTTAAATTTTCCAGTAAGTAATTTTAGTAATATGTTGATTTAATCCCATATATCCAAAAATATGTGGTCAATATAAAAATGATGAATGCGAGAACTGACATGCTGTTTTCATAGTAAATATTCAGAATTGGGTGCATATTTTACACTCACAGTACATCTCAATTGCGATGCTATATTTTCAATAATTAAAGTGAAATGGAGTCCTTCCAAAACAATTACCCTTGTGTGGCTAAAGGAAAAATACCTCCAAAACAATAAGCTTGTATTTGAAGAGAAAATATTTTACACCACTCGCTCTACAATTTAAATCATCAAGGTTAAATAAAATCAGAAGTGCAGTTCCTCAGTCGCACCGGACACATTCCGAGAGCTCCAGATGCACACGAGGGTGTGGCTGCCACAAGGGAGAACCCGGGTACCAACTACGGTGGCGCACACACCTGAACAGGCGTGGCGGCTTTCACTCCGTGGCTCCCACAGGGAGAGCTAACATTCACTGTGACAAAATTAGAGAGGCTTTCAATCCATTATCTCACGTGATCCTTTAACAGTCCTATAGGACTGGCATTGCTATTTTCATGTTACAGATGAAGAAACTCAGTTAAGGGGTTAAGCCGTTGACCATCATCACATGGTTAATACAAGGTGGTCAGGATTTGAACCGTGCACTGCTAAGTCCCAAGCCTGGGTCCTTCCCCACAAACCTCGCCGAGCCTCAGACGGGGCCAGTAATCTCTCTGTACTGACTCCCTAGAACCAAACCATACAAGGCACAGGCATGTACCATTCTACCGTGGTGTGGGGGGCCCCAGGCTGTTCAGATACCAGTTCTCCAGCTCGGAGCCCATCAAGACCGAACTTCTCTGCCCACGCACGGCCACGTGACTTACTCTGGCCAATGAAATAAGCCCACGGGTAACTGAGGGGCCCCCTCTCTCTGCCATGATGACCAGCAATGGTCCTGATAAGAGGTTACAACATCATCCTGGATCCCTGAGTGAAGACAGCATGGGCTAGAGCCACAGGCAACCTCTGATAAACACACATTATGGAGGGAACACTCATTCATGGGAGTCCCTGAGATCTGCTACCCAGATAACCTAGCCCCCTGACGGATGTGCACACGGTTAACTTGCAGTGGAAGATGGGTAACTCTGGTGTTCAGGGAAAAGTGGGTAACTCAGAATTCTTCCTTATACTCACTGCCAGAATCCTGCAGGCTGCTCTTCTTCAAAGCCAATGAAAGGGCTATTACACCACCAGCTGTGGTGGGGTCTGGTTTCATCCCTACTGGTATTACTGTATTTCTTACAAGTAGCTCATTAAGGCAATTATCAGTCATTAGCACAGTGGCCTGAGCATCAGTACAATCACATACATTAATAAAACACAATTTAGCAGAGCGAGTAAAGACATGCACATACTGGGCTCCCTTGTGGGGCACTCATGGCTTGAGCTGAAGAGAATTCCCACTAAGCTAAAGCAAAGCGCTGCAGAGAAGTCTGCCAAATCCAGCACCTTCTTAGTGCTCCTCTGCATGCGATTCAATTCAACCAAA